CCGGTTTAACTGCACTTCATTATGGGATCGAAACGCGGAATCTTGACATTATTCAGTTACTGGTTAATAACGGTGCACAGAACACCAAGGATATAGACGGACGTAGTCCTCTGATGAAAGCTGCTATCAATGATTGGTCATCAATTGTTGAATATTTAATTAGTCAGACAAGCATATGTTCAACAAGTGAGTGTATCGAAGCGTTAGAATTATTAGGTGTAGCTCGCAGCATTCAAGATCTACAAACTGAAGCATTTCATTACTTATTTCGTGCAATGAAGATGAGATTTGAGGATCAGTCAGCACCACCGATTCATAAAATGGTACTAGCTCCAGTAAAAGCGTATGCAAATCACGTAGAATGTCAGACGATTGATGAACTTGAACGGTTATGGCATAATCTTGATGCATTACGTATGGAAACACTTGTCGTTATGGAAAGACTGTTGGGCACAAAAAGTGCCGTCCTTTACGATGGTCTTCATCAAATAGGTCATTTTTATCTTATTGAGGGTAAGTACGATCGATGCATAGCATTGTGGTTGCGGATCTTCGATCTATTTGAGAAAGTAACAGTCTACAAGCTATCATTTCCAAAATTATTCATGGCGATGATCGACAATAATAAGGATATTGAGATTAGTGTTTTAATGAGCGTTATTCAACGTACCTTTAACGAACTAATACGAAATAAAAGATTAGGTGAATGTGACTTTGGTTGGAACTACCAAAGGCTGTTCAACCTAGTTCAAGTCATTGCCAAGGTTCGTATGGTCTTCTTTTTTATCTGAAATTAGTTAACGCTCCAGTTTAATTCAGATAGTGTTGACGAAGGATAATGAAACGCAGTGTCGGCTACACAATTTGATTCGTCGATTAAATCGTTTGAATTTGTCCAGTTACACGTTTCTGCATTCCTGTTTTATGGACAGTTTTAATTCACGGTATAAATGCGACTTATATTAAGAGAAAAAGTTTTTTTCTTTTACTCACGATGCTGTTTTAGATCACCCTGCATTCTAACTGTCAGATTATTGATCGCATGTAATGCAGACGTCAACGCTTTGGATTCAAGAAGAAATACGCCTTTACACATACTAGTTAACCGAACAACGAACAATGACAATACGAATGAAGTTGAAGCAATCATAATTGATTTAATTGGCCATGGGGCTCATTTGGACACAATGAATTCATCAGGGAAAACACCTTTGGAGATTACTAGCAAGGAGTATATAAAAAGTTTATTGAAACGTTACACAAAAATTTCGCTAAAATGTTTGTGTGCCAAAATTATCGGACAATCAAATATTAAATACAATGAATTTGTTTCTGAAACACTCATCGACTTTATTCAGCGTCATTCAGCGCAGCAGGCATAGATGGCGTTGATTTTTAATCTTAGTAATTTTTACAATCGACTCATTTTGATCAATGTCCAAAGATTAAAACGTACTTCAAGTAAAACGGAAATCAGCTTTATACAACTGAAATCCAGCCACAAGATGATGTATTGACTACAAATTGTGAATAATTGAAATAACCTTTTGAAAGTTGGAGAAAAAGTGCTTCTCGATCGGGAATCGAATTGAGGATTCTATGGTTAAAAGCCCTAATAGAACAGTATAGAGAGTCATCTTAACAGATATCTGAACAGCCATCTGATTAAAATGAAGGAGTAATGTGACTAGGATAACCTCGAGTCATTGCACAACTTCAATCATTGTGCAGAATATAGGAAAGAACACCGAAGTTGGTTTTTGCAGCTCGTCTGCAAAGATCAAGTTCATGCGTTCGATTCTAGCTCGTGTAAGGATTTATTTTGTGTTTTGGTAGTTTTAGTTTCAGAATGATATAATGGGAATTTATATTCTCGATTTCGTTCTAGTTCAAGATTAAAGCTTAAACCAACCAAACCTAATGTGACTAGACCGTGTCTCGATAGCCGAGTGGCTGGAGCTTTTGGCCTGTAACCAAAGACCCTCGGTCCGATGTTGTTTCTCCAACGTCGAAAAGCATTTTCGTTTTTACTTTTCGCTATAAACGTGTCCGAAACTAAAGTTTAAAAACTTAATTTGAAGTAATATTATAAAGGTAAAGTAAAAAAATTATCTATAATGCATTTTTCGGCTGCGTTGTACAACAAATAAAATAAATTATTTGTCATTGATACATGACCCGGAAAATATGCTTCATATAAGATGCACGTAAAGCAAACTGCGGGTGAAATTTGTTTTCGACTTTGAGATACATATTCTTATTCAGCGCTTCGAGCTGATGATGAATACCACCTTCCCAGTCACAGAAGATATTTTCTCGCCGAGAAAACCTTAAAATACTGAGAAGGTGCCAAAAAGGTCAAAAATCTTGGTTTTTCAAAAAAAGGTCGCCGTTTCATCAGATTTTGTCCTATACGTCCTAGTATAGATGCTTTAAATAATGGAATGTAAGAATGTTTTAATGTCCAAAATTCTCCGGTTATTGAAATAGAACAACACAGGACTTCCACTCCAAATACCAAAAGAAATGAACGAGAATTTGACAATGATCAATCACTTCAATCTAGTCAACAGCAAAAGTCGAGATTTAAGGATAATAACAGTAAGGGACAAAATTATGACCAGTTCTGTGAAGGATCGGATAATAATCATCGGGCACTGACTGAAAAACAATCGTCACAGACATATCAAAACCAATCATATCGTCCTTCTCAGAAATCGCCATTCAGCATAAATAAAGGGTATTCAATTCCATTCGAACAGCTAAAAGGAGCGGTAACGCATAACCTATCATGCTTTTACGTTCAATTTGATAATGGTTTACCGGCTCGTGAGTTGTCTTAAGCAGTTATAGTAGGAAGTGAAATTTACAAATATTTCATTAATAATGGTGTTAATATAAAAAAATTTTCAACGGTCAGCTATGCGGGTAAACAACTCAAAATAGGAGTAAACAATAAAAATGATCTTTATAATTTATGTATGACAAACAAATGGCCATTACCAATTTTAAATAAAATATTAAAGTGATTGAACCAAAATCAATAGCTGCTCATTTTCATAGTAATACGGTATGTGCCGAAAAAATTTTCAGCTGATTTCGTATTTAATGAAATTAAGAAATCAATTACCAGTGCTCAAGAGTGTAATCCAATCGTATATACATATGGCACAATAACAACAGACTATCGGTTTAACGTTACGAATTTGGAAGAGTATTATGAAACATTAAATTTAGGAAAATTAGCAGTGGGTAATCGTCTATTATCTGTCACTCCATATTTACCCTCAAGTAAACTCACTTATTGTTCAAAATGTTATACATTAGGGCATACATCATTAAACTGTAATAGCCATCATCCAAAATGTCGAGTATGTTTAGGCGAGTTTACTAATAATCATAGAAATGAATGTGAAGGTCAGTTTAAATGCGCTCAGTGCGGGGGTAATAATTTCTCATTAGATGAAAATTATCCCATGGTGCAAAAACACCGTCAAGGATTAAATAAAGAAGTGAAACACGTCGTCCGAAATGATGATTTAAACTATAATACACAATTAAAACAAATAAAAAAATCAAATGAGCATCAGTATGCTGAAAACGCTTTTCCACCATTAGTTAAAATGGATAGAAGTATTGTAAATAGGTAGAATATACAAAAAATAGATAGTAATAACAATATCAATAAAAATGAGCTGGTGTGTAGCTGCTGTACTAAAGGAAATTAATAAAAATTTAGAAATGATGAACAAGAAATTAGACAATCAGGAAATAAGGATTGGAAGAAATGAAGAAAATATTAGATTAAATAAATTAGTCGCATCTGAGTTATTGACCACAATGGCTAATCTAATTGGAAAAGTGGTGCTACCATTAATAAAGTTAATGACGAAAGACGAAGAACTAGTGATTAAAAAGACAGAAAGTTATGCGAAAAGATTTATTAGTATGGAGGAAAATTTACGTCTAAACTATAAATTTGACACTGAAACGGTAACGGATGAAACAAACTATATGACGGTCTGTCCAGGCGTTACACGGACTTACGCTTTTTTTTAGTCCGTAGCAATTTTTTCTATAACGGAAGATGCTGTGAGGACCGTTCTTGCGTCAGCTGATAGAGCTCGGTGAGTTCTATTTGCAACCAACATATTGTGGGTTTCAGCCAAGTGACATGGTTTTTATACAAATAATATTCAGCGTTATGGACTTACAAAAAATAGAAGTGAATGTAGAGCAGAGCAGAAACAGATAATAAGTTTAGCGAATAATGAGGTTCTTTCAAAAACCTTTTCGTAGTAAATGTAGCTGAGGATTAACCCTATATAAAGCAAAAAAACATTTGTTTCGAAAGTGTTTAGTCTGGCAGATACATCAAAAACAAAAACGTTATGGACTTACAGCTTGTCCGCTTGGGTCCCATTTTGCAGAGGACACTCTGGATTATATATCTATGGAAAAAAACTGATAGATTGCTATCTCAATATCCTGAGATTCAAACTGATTTTCTAAAGGTCTCCTAGAAAATCGATCTTCTGAATATTTTTCGAAAAAGATTTTGCTTAAGAAAACATGGGCAAAACTATTTTCTTTCGATTGCTGAAAATCCCAAATCTCTATCTTTTATCGCCTTTGAGTTATTCAAAAAGCGCTAATTAGCGTGTTTCGTGTAGAAAGAGTCAGCGTTTTTCTCAAAATCGATTTTTGAGTCAAACGTCGCGCAAATTTTTTTCAAATATAGTTCATTGTAGAGAGCTGCGGTTTTTTTTATTTATTGGGGCACTCGATACTCCTTCGGATGAGGGGAAGAAATTTTTTAATTAGGCTCTGGTTCTGTAGAAAACCGCGTCTGTCTGGAATACCTCTGATGATATTTTAAGAGTTTAGAGGTTTCAACGCTCCCCATAATTAAAGAAAGCAAGAATAAAAAATCCCTTCCCCTCATCCGAAGGGGTAAGTAGTTCTCCTTCGAATAAAACAATCTCGGGTTCTGTACCTTACCATAGTCACCTGGCCTTAACATAGTCACAATATAGACTCATGTGAGACTAATGCAAAAATGTCGTCCACGTAACGTACAAAATATTGAATTCCAACATCCTTGAAATTTTGAGAGAATTTTCCTTCATATTTTTGTAAAAGTATCTCAGCCATGATTGGTGCTAATGAAGCTCCCATACAAACTCCTTCTATTTGATCGTAGATCTTGTTATCAAATAGGAAGTGAGACTTTTTTGTTGCAAAAACTAACAATTTTCTAAAGTCATTTATCTTTATGGATGGTGGAGCTCTCTAATTAGAATCATATAGTTTCTTAAGAGTTATTTGAATGGTCTCATCTATCGGAATATTTGCAAAAAGTGAACAAATATCAAGAGAGATCATACGAAATTTGGCTGCTAGATTTCTTCGTTTCTGTAATTCGGTTACGAATGCGAAAGAATCTTTTATTATATATCTACCAATGGTTTCAAATAGAACATCAATGCCTTCCCAAGCCCATAAAGGGATGAACACAATAGAGGACCCCCTGTTATAAGGTTCAATCAAACACTAACCTTTGCGTTCGTCTTTCCCTCAGCTGTTCCCTGAACGAATTCACCCGATCGGATCCTTTTAATTTCGGCGATTTCCGGAGACCGGACGCCCGACCGGATCCGGAAATCAGAATCTGCTCAATTCCTTCGCGTTCCGATATTTTTTTTCTGGAGGATCCGGAGATATCCGGAACCAGGCGGATCCGGAGATATCCGGAACCAGGCGGATCCGTTAATTTTCGGTGACCGGAAATCGACGGATCCTGTGATGTGCACTTTATTTATTTTTTCTTTCCAGTGCGGATAATATATTCACCGTTTTGTTTCACGACAGGAGCACTTTAAATATGACACTGCAGAAAATGAAAAATGAGAAGTTGTTCTTCTCAAATTCTTAACAATGTGAGTCATCGCTCACACTGTTCAACGTGTTACACACGTCCTAGCTAGCGGGCCCCTCCACTCTCTCGAATGGACAGAGAGAAGAACCACTGGAAAATGAAAGAAAAAATCTAAGACTATTTTTAACCTTAAAATTGGTCACATTCTGCCAAATCTAGCGAAATCCGATTCATCGGCCGGAAGGTCCCGGAAGATGTCGGATCCGGTCGGATCTTTCCCAACATCTTCCGGCACGGATTCCGAGCAACGGATTTCCGGCATGTTCCGATGTTGGATCCTGGCGCCGGAATGGACGACCTGGGTTAGAGGGAATATACAGCTGCTAGACAAAAAGAAGTGTGTGCACTCCACGCCCCTTGTCAAGTCTCGCAATAACAATCGATCGATCGGAACGTAAATTTTGTAAAATTTCAGAGTATTTTTTGTAGGTCGGGTTTCGCTTCATTTCATGATTTCATTTTTAGCGCTTTGTCTGATACAAGAAAGAATCAGTGAGAGATCAAATCTTACTACTATCCATTTCAAAAAAGAATTCAGTCGGTTGCATTTTGAATAACTCAGGAACAATACTAGCTAGCGAGGTCGGGTTTTCGCGGTTGATAATAGAAAATTTGGGCCTATCCAGCTATGTAACAAAAGGCTAACTTTTCATGATTTTCCAGAGTTTTCCGAAAATCGTCTGGAAAATCACTTTTGGGAAAATTTAGAATTTCTAGTTTTTTGATTCGATACGATTTCCCATCACTTCTTCTACAAAACAAAACCAGGCCGAGGTCGATACGATGTTCCGTTCAGGCGCTAGCCTCAATTTACTGAAGATCTCTATTCACAATAATGTGCAGTCGAAAAAAGAGCTACACGTTCCATACATTTTTTCCTTCTGCTCAGTTATGGAGTCCTACGATATTCGCAAGTATTGGAAGTATCCATACGTTACATATCGCATTTATCTGACATGACGTATCGGGTTCTTTCCTCACGTATCATTACATATTTTAATTATATCGGATTTTTAGCATATACTCCCTCATATTATATTCGGTATTCTTCAACTCCCACTCAAATCCCACTCTACAACACCACTCAAAGGATTCAGGCGATGCTTGGGATTTCAGAACGTTCCATTTTCAACCTAAAGACCGAGATGAAGCGTAAATACAACTCGATCAGAAGAAGGAGGAGGAAGAACAAAAGAAAGAAAACGAAGAAAAGCAAAAGAAACAGGAAGAAGAAAAGAAGCAACTTCTCAGCACGATTCGCCTCAGAAGTCAATCAATGGATGCTACAGTTGTTTCTGATGTGCCTTCCACATCGGATCAACCATCGTCATATCGAAAATCGAAAAGAAAATGGGAACCGTCTATACCTAGGGCCAAATCACCACTTAAGCGAGAACATTCAGGCCGACCGTCTGTTGTTCTTAGTGGGCAAGCTGAGAACGCAATCAGATACAATTTCCATGCTATGCTTGCAGAAAAGGTCTATCCAACATGCAGCAGTCTTTTGGATAGGCTGCTGCATACACATGAAGATTTTCCAATTCGCTCGGTGACAACTTTATGGCGGCACATGCGTCGACTTGGGTTCTCCTACAAATCAACGTCAAAAATTCCCGTTCTTCTTGACGATGTCTCGTTTGTTGCTCAACGTGCGTTCTACTTTCGGCGTCTGACGGAACTTCGAGAGTCAGGTGCTTTCATCTATTTTCATGACGACACATGGTTAAATGCAGGAGAGGAGAAGAGGAGCATTTGGATTGATGAAAAAGGTGAAGGTCGGCTACGAAAACGCGATGGGAAGGGTAAACGTATTGCGATTTCGGCCATGATTGGCGTGCAAGGATTTGTGGAGCCGTTCGACGTATGGACGTGTGACAGCGATCATGCAGTGAACAGCGACCACTTTCATAAATGGATCGGAGACGCCGCTGGTCGTCTTCGTATCAACCATGGTGCTGGCTCAACCATCGCCATCATCATTGATAATGCCACCTGGCATAATGCGCTTTGCGACGACGCCAAACCACCCAAGCGTCAACTGCAGCAATGGCTCGATAATCATAGGATCCAGTGGGTTCCTAGATCATCAGAGACTGAATTGCTGCAGCTAGCGTTTGAAAACGTTCCACCGAAACGATATGTCACTAATGCTATTGTCCGTGCATTTGACGTCGAAGTCCTGCGGCTACCGATAAAGCACTGCGTTCTCAATCCAATAGAGTTAGCATGGGCGCAGCTAAAATCGTACGTTCGAAAAGCAAACATCAACTTTCGTTTATCTGATGTCGAGAATCTAGCACTCGAGTTTATGACAGCGGTTGACAAGGACTTAGCGCAAAGCTTCATTGAACACGCAAAAAAAACGCAGAAGAGATATTTAAAACCGCAGATGCCTTTGCCGAAGATAGCATTGAACCGCAGCTGATAGATACGGATGACGAAAATGACTTCGCTTTACACGGTCCTGACGCATCCGATATTTCTGAGTAAACAGTTGAAGCATGCATTCATCTGGTTTAAACTGTATTCGCTTGAAAAAAGTTTTTGTATTTCGTATAGATTTAACTATATAATAAACTATGCGAGACGGTACTGTGCGTCATATAAGCAAATAATTGCGATGGATCACTTTTAGATCGAGAATTTGAAGTCAAACATAATTTGAAAGATTAGTAACTACATTTTTTTATATACGCATTGTTCTAGAATGGTTGTGAATTTTTCTTTCAGACTAGTACGTCAAAAGAATAGAAAGGAAAAAGAAAACAAGTTGTATATGTAGTTTTACTTTTATGCACAATCATCTTTACGTTTGGAAATAGCCGTATATAGAGTCGAAATATTACAAAATAAAAATAAAATAAAAAATGAAGTTTAAAACAGCTACATTAATAATCAAGTTTTACGCTAGTGTAGTTTACGCTAGTAAATGGTATAAAGAAGATTTAGATCAAATTACTAAATTAACTGCTGGTATGATCTCGAAAACGTTTGATGGTTCGGTAACCTCTCTGATCACCAAACTAAAGCTGCCAGATTTATCTACACGGCGGAAATATTTTCGGCTATTACACTTTTTCAAAGTTAAGAATCTTCCCTCACCTCGCTTCATTTTCGATCCTCCTTTTATAAAACCATTAGCAGTCAAAAGATTAGACCGCTTAATAGTAATCGTCAGAATAGTATGCAGATTGAGGCATCGACAGTATCGAAAGACCTTGTTGCTTTTTTTCCTACCGTACAGTTGGTGACCTGCCACATACTGTTGTATCTTGTTAAACAGTTACTACTTTCAAACGAGCACTATGCGCTCACCTATCCATATAAATGTGTTGTTTTTTTGCCTTTTTGTTGTTGTTGTTTTTTTTGTTATTGATTTTTCTTCTATACCCTCTTCTCGTGGCCACAGCCCAAAACGATCATGCATATGAATCACAAGAATTCATCTTTCATTCTAACACGACTTTCATCCTTTGTCGAAGTTACGATTACGATACACAAAGTTAGTGCGTTGCCAAAAAGTGATCGCTTTTTAATTAATGAATACTCAACGGTCTCAATTTAAAATCTAGGTATATAAATTGATTGCTCTTTGCAAACAATCTACAGTAATCAAAGGGCGCGAGTCATTAAACCCAGATTTTTCAGATATAACACGGAGGATTCACGATTAAGAGACCCCATAGTAGTCAACTGAAATTTTTGAAGTAAGAAAACGATCACTAATATTACTGTGTACGATTAACTGTTAAAAGAGAATGCCTCGCTCTGTGATATATGAGGGTGCCGACGTACTCAATTCCAGCGGCACAATATTAAGCATCGTTGAATCTACGCGTATTTGAAAATAATTAAAACAACGGTACAAGAAAACGCAAAGAAACTGAAACCGCCTGAAGCCCCGGTAATTTTGCATCACCCTCACCCTTCACCCTCACCACCTCAGAGCAACATTCATATGATAATAAAATATAATAAGAGCAAGAGTGAGGTACAAGATAAAAAGATACAAAAAAAATACAATACAAGATAAAATTACCAACCATACAAATATACAATGAATTTGATCTAGTTATCAGTCAACCACCACATAGCCGACAATCTTCATGATAGTCTCTTTACTGGTCATCAACTGTAGCTCTGGACAAAAGACAAGCCTGACGAGGAGATCTTTCGCCAAATTGAGCTTCCTATACACACTTAATATCTACGTACTAGTTTTCTGGCAAGCCAGAAAAACTGTGATTGTCCATCGCAGCGTAGATGTAAACTATCGGACGACTGCACAAAGTCACTAAGGCACATGGAACTTGCTCAAGGTCAGTACGTAACTTGACCACAGTGAGGTTCAGATACAGTATTTTTTGAATACAATTTTAATGGCATAACCACTTAGCCACACTGATGATTAACTGACAAACTTCTTACAATGTGCCATGCAGGAGCATAACGCACTGTAGTGAATGAGTTTAATTTAGCTCCAGGACATGTGGATTTGTTTACATATGATCGAATCATCAGTAACACATACGTTATTCAACTTATGGGTAATAATCGCTTCAGAAACCTATTGGATCATTACCTCTGCTGAAGATTATGGTGGTGTAGAAATGGGACAATGATTAATAGTATTCGTAATAAGCAGATATTATGTCTTGGAATAGAAGACGCTATAAACTACTGTGTATTGTTCTGTCTGTAAGTTCTTAATGTCATTAAGCTGGATTAAACAAGACTTGATATCAAACTCATGAGGCTAGTCTGGTCTAATATCATGAATCTATATAGATCAAAGGGAACCAGTCGTGTAATTAAATTCATTCAATACTTCTGAACATGTGTAGTCTATATAGCGAATTTCGGTTCTATTTAGGTCTTTTTTCCATTTAAACGCTACTATGCTTGAATTGCGTTTCGTCGAATACGGATTATTTTTCTCGTTATTACTAAACTTTCCGCGTGTGTGAGTGTTGATGAAAGTTTCTACAATTTTTGTGTATGGTATGTTCAATTGTTTAAATAGTTTTCTAGCTTCTGTTTCTGGTTTCTGTGACAAGTCTTCATATTTGACTAGAAAAAAATGATTAGGAAAGTCATGTTTTAAACGTTTAAAAACTTTCATGTCCTGTCGCATTTCCTGACATAAATGTTTTACATCGATACATGATGTGTTGACGCACCAGTCCATTAGTTTTCTTGAACTGTAGATTCCTCTTGGATCACGAACAAGATAAACAACTTTTAGATTGAGATCATTTACGGCTAATTTTTCAATATGTCTCATGGATAATCGAGCCACTTTCATTATTTGAATCGGTGACCGAAGGCAAACTTGTTCAATAAACAATGAATCAAAACAACTTGCTGGACGAAAGTAACAAGTATTCTGCAGAAATTTGTTAAATTCAAATAAATGTTGATGTACATCGATCGATACCCACTTGATGTAGTTTGGAACATTGATAAAATCACATTTAAAAAGATGCTTAATTAGTCGAAATGCTTCTTCAGTTCTTTCATTTTCGATGCGAATACCAACTGTCATGTAATGAAGTGGTTCAAAATGATAAAATGAGTTCCAATTTTGTTGTAATAAATCACCTAAAAATGTTGAACCGCCACGAAAATATGTTACTAACAAAATTTTGGTTACATTAACATTGTGAATGATTGGTAACCTTCTCAATGGATCGAAGACAGTTTGGGTAGAAATAAATTGGTTTTTTAATGGTGGACTCTGGCTCGAACTTTGATTTGTATAAGCTGTCAATTCAACTTGTATGCAATAAAGATAATAATACAGTATCAATACAATAATAGATAGAATTACGAATATCCTGTACATCAGTTTACAATGCATACGTAAGTAGAGATCACGTAAGTTTTCTGAAGAGACGAGAAAAATACGACAGCAATGTTCTAAAAATACAGTCGATTTACTTAGCATGAGACCGATGTAAATGTATTTTTTAAAAAGCATATACAATATAAAAGAGACCATGGGCAAAAATTAGCAGAAAAGAACAAAAATTCAGCGGAGTGTTAAATCTAATTTGGTGGAAGAAATATTTTACCTGTATTTTATTTACATTAACATGTCACACTCATTTAGGCGAATCAACATAGCATAACTACTATATCAAGTTGTATCACCTACCTACTCATGAGGAAGTACCAGGTGAAAAGAACAGGAAAGAAAATACGCTCACTCACGAAGAGTGCTGAGTAAACATATCAAACAAACAAACAAAAACCAAACCAAATAATGAAGAAAAGATTGAGCTCAATATGATTCATTTATATCAGTTAATATTACATATTTATTGACATTCTTTGACTTTTTTACGTTTCGTATAAAACTAAGTATATTTAATATAATTGAAAAACATTTTTGTAAAATAATTTTACACAAAAAGCGAGCTTTCCATACTTCACAGTATCATCATCAGGCTAATATGACTGTGAATTTAGAAGAGAGATGCATATATATATAGTGATAAATATGTTAAATGATACAACGAAATTCAGTATAAGTTCATCAGATGAGACATTAGACGAAGAGAATAAAATTAACAATAGATTGAAACAACTGTTGAAAGATAAAAAAATTGATCAGCAGACTTATGATCGTCTTTTCGTTAGTGGATGTACAATACCATATTTATATTGTACGGTGAAGATACACAAATCGAATTATCCATTAAGACCTATCATCTCTACTTGTAATGCACCGTGTTACCGTTTATCCAAATATTTAGCAGAGCAACTAAAATTATGTGACAACAATTCAAAATCGTTTATAAAAGATTCTTTCGCACTAGTATCTCGTTTGAAACAAACAAAACTTAGCTCAAATGATATACTGGCTAGCTTTGACGTGGAATCACTCTATCCGAGTATACCAGTTGAAGAAGCGATAAAAATAGCAGCCAACAAAATATGGGATCAGAATAAAAAGAAGAAGGTTATAAAAATAACTAGAACAGAGCTTTTTATTCTATTCAACTTAGCTACACGTAACGTTCAATTTCGTTTCTATCATAATATTTACCGGCAAGAA